GTTCAACGTATATTGCAAAAAAGTTCACCTTGCGTTTATAAAAATGTTCATTGTGTATTAAAAAAAATTAATCACACATTTAACAAAATGTTCACTATATACTAGGAAAATGTTCAACGTATTTATAACAATGTTCATTGTGTACTTACAAAATGTTCAGTGTATATCACAAAAATGTTCAATGTGTTCTGAAGAATTGTTCAGCATATATCACAAAAATGTTTAATGGTCAAAACTTTTGATTTTTTTTCTTCCGCTGCTCTTAGTTCTTATAAATTCGCGCGGCATATATACAGCAAGCAGTGAGCAGCTCAAGTGGTATTGTACACTTGTCCACTACCGTGGGGTGTCGAGTTCGATTCCTCGATGCCGCATCTTTTTTTTTTTGGGATTAATAGCAGCTCGTTTTGACGCCACTGAATGGGCCGGCCCATTCTGATCGTGCGCGTGCGCGGAAGCTCGTGTGGTTGACGCTGGGAACTCCTATTGGACGCATTCTGCGTCAAATAGCGACATGACGCACGCATGAAAGCCCCGAATGGGCCGGCCCAATATAGAGAGCATGTCAGTTTCCTTGTTCAGTAGCGCTGCTATGTTCTGTTTAAAAAAAAAAAACAAATGCGCCAGCAGTCCAGTCCTGCCACGATTCGAAATCTAGACCTCCATGTTGCGTAGGAGACGAGCTAACTAGTTGACCTATCAACTGCTGGTACTAATATGTGAAGCGTCCTAGTATAAGAACTAATACCAACGAAGAATTTGGACAACTTTCATATTTTTTTTTCAAACAATCCTTCGAAATTATTAATTATTTTTAAAAACCAGCACTGTTTCAAAAATACGATACAAAATTTAACAACTCACACTTATTTTCAAATTTCAAAAACAAAAAATAAAGTAGTGAACATTTTAAACAGATTTGTTTTTGAAAGTCCTAAATTCTGAACATTTTTAAAATTGCAAACACTCTTTGAAAAAATCCCAACTTTTTGTTCCAAAATTTGAGTAATTTTTTGAACGTACTTTTTTTCAAAAAATGCGAACAAATTCTATGAAAACGAACAAATTTTAAATTTCCCAAACATTTTACGAAAACATGAACATTTTTGGAATTTGAGAACAATTTTTTAAAGCACGAATGATTCTTGAATCTTGAGAACAAATTTGGAAGTGCGAAATATTTTTTAAAGCACGAACTTTTTTGAATCTTGAGAAGAAATTTTGAAATGGAGAACAATTTTAAAAAATCCTGAACAAATTTGGAAGCACGAACAATTTTGTAAAGCATGAACATTTTTTGAATCATGAGAACAAATTTTGAAACATGGAACAATTTTGAAAAATCCTTGACAAATTTGGAAGAGCGAACATTTTTTGAATATGTGAACCAAAAGTTGAAATCTGGTACATTTTCTAAATTTCTAAAGTTTTGAACTTTTTTGTGTAGAGAGAACAATTTTTGAATTTTCCAAACATTTTACGAAAACATGAACATTTTTGGAATTTGAGAACAATTTTTTAAAGCACGAGTGATTTTTGAATCTTGAGAACAAATTTGGAAGTGCGAACTATTTTTTAAAGCATGAACATTTTTTAAATCTTGAGAACAAATTTCTAAATAGAGAACAATTTTGAAAAATCCCGAACAAATTTGGAAGCACAAACAATTTTGTAAAGCATGAACATTTTTTGAATCTTGAGAACAAATTTTGAAACAGAGATGAATTTTTAAAAACCCCGGACAAATTTGAAAGAGCGAACATTTTTTAATATTTGAACCAAAAGTTGAAATCTGGTACATTTTCGAAATTTCGAAAGTTTTGAACTTTTTCATGTAGAGAGAACAATTTTTGAATTTTGAGAACATTTTTTCAAAAACTAAACATTTTTTTTGAAACACGAACAAAACTTAAAAATTTCGATTTTTTTGAAAAAAGAGAAGAAAAGAAAAGGAAATAAAAAATAAAATCCTAAACATTTTGTAAAACTGCGAATATGTTCTGAAAAATACAAGAAAAAATGAAATAATAAAAAAGAAACAGCAAACGAAAAAAAATAGAAACGTGAAAAACCAATAAAATAAAATAAAACGTTTCATGAAACCTACTAGAAGGTTCACAAAACCAGTTTGGGAAGTTCGTAAGTGGGCAGGCCCAAAAAGCATCGCTCCGCGCTCGCCCCTGTGCGAAGCGGGGCCAGTTTGTAGCAGTGAGCGGCGAGTAGGATATTCCGTTGACGCTCGCGAGCGTCAGCTAAGAGCTCTCAAGAGAGTTCGAACTCACGACCTCCCTTTTCTACAACTAGCGTTGCTAAACGACGGAACAGGTGACCTATTCTGATAATTTGAGGCGCAAAACTTTAAGTACCATATTCGTATTGAATCTTTTTTTTAAGTACACATAAAATATTTTGTAATATCCGTTGAACATTTTGCGATAGCCGTTGAACATCTTCTTAAAATAAGCTGAATATTTTAAATAATACACGATGAACTTATTTTAATATACACTGCACATTTTTGAAAAAAATATGAATATACATGCTGAACAATTTTTGGACATGTACTGAACATTTGTAAAAATACATTGAATAATTTACGAATACACATTGAACATTGTGTAATATATACTGAACAAAATTAAGAAACATAGTGAACATTTGTATACTCGTTGAACACAATTAACCAAAATAGAAAAAATCAAAAATTTATATACCGAACATCTTTTACATCCATTGAACATTTTAAATAATACACGATGAACATTTTTGAAACAATACGAATATACACATTGAACAATTTTTGAATACGCATTTAACATTTAGTAAAAAAAACGTTGAACAATTTCATAATATACAATGAAAAATTTTGTAATACACGATGAACATTTTTAATCGCAACGGTGAACAATTTTCATAATACACAATGAACATTTTTCTTAATAAAATGAAATTTCTTGTCATACACAATGAACATTTTATATAATACGCAAATATAAATAAGAAAACAGAAAAAGAAACAGAACAGAAAAATAAAAAAATAATGTAAAATAAAATGAAACGAAAAAGGAATCAAAACAGAAAAATAAAAAAACATGGAAGAAAACCACGAAAAACCGGACCAAACAGTGAAAAATTGGAAGCAAAAAACAGCAGAAGAAAATGGAAAACAAAAACCGTGCGGAAGCAGCGAAGGAAACAACAGCGAACAACGAAGGAAAACGGCACAGGAAATCGTACGTGGGCCGGGCCAAGTGGGGACTCGCTTCAGCGAAGGTGCAGCTCTTGGACGCTCACGCGCGTCATATAGGATCCACCTTGAAACATGGCCTTTTCCTCTCGTTTGGACATAATGCACGAGTGGCCCGGGAGCAACTAATTAACGAGCGCTCCTTCGGGAGCTTCGCAACGATCAGCGCCACTTGACGCGTTCACAGTCATTCGCCACGTATCGCGCTCTGGGCGCTTCCTCTGGATTTTTTTACGCACGCGTTTTCGGCTTTTTAAACGGTTTTTTTGACGTTTTGGTTTTCTACCGGTCTTCCCTAGCTTTTCGACCAAGATTTTTTTTCGAAAAAAAATATTTTTTTTGCGCGAGAGGCACGGTTGTGCCTCTTGGAAACGAAAAAAAACGTGTTTTCTGTTTTTTTCGCCAGAGGCACGGTTTTGCTTCCACGAGAGGCACGTTGTGCTTTTCCGAGAGGCACGGGCGTGCCTCTTTTGGAAAGGAAAAAACACGTTTTTTGTTTTTTTCTTCCGCGAGAGGCACGGTTTTGCTTTCGCGAGATGCACGGTTGTGCTTTCGCGACAGGCACGGGCGTGCTTTTCTCGGAAAGGGAAAAAAACGTGTTTCTGTTTTTTTCCTTTCGCGAGAGGCACGGTTTTGCTTCCGCAAGAGGCACGGTTGTGCTTTCACGAGAGGCACGGGCGTGCCTCTTTCGGAAATGAAAAAAACGTGTTTTCTGTTTATTTTTCGTTCGCGAGAGGCACTGTTTTGTTTCCGCGAGAGGCACGGGCGTGCCTCCTTCGGAAAGGAAAAAAAAACATGTTCCCGGTTCGGTTTTTTCGTCAGTTTTTTCATGAAAAAAAAAGTTCGTCAAAACCTATCAACATGGGATCTAGTTTTGAAGATCTCGACGCGAGGAATCCAATAGTGAAAGCGGTTCGAGATTTGAACGCATGGTTTAAGAGATAAAACATTTTGAATAAACGGATCTAGAAAAAAAGGAAAACTCACAGGTTGCAACAAATGGCACACATGCAGCGCGCCACTTGTCGCAACCTGGGGGAGTTGGAGTGATCTCCGCAAAGAGTACTCCTTAATTAGTGATTTCGGAGTGGCCCAGTGTAGAAGAAATAGTTAGTTAGGCCTTGCATGGGCAGTGAAAACAAGGCCTACTATGCTGGCCCGTGTATTTCTAGAATACTGGCCCGTATTTATTTTTTGAAGTTCGATACTGTTACAAACATTTCTGCTTCATGCAAGCAATGAGAAAATCATACAGATCACAGAAGCATGTTTTGGGGTGCATCAGTGCATGGTGCAATCTGGTGCTTGTAGACATCGAAGTAGCAATGGAGTTCTAAAAGAAAGAAGAACAAGTTTTCTTTCTGGTGTGTAATTGTTTCATAGCCTTACAGGAGCTCTCTAGACAGGCTCATGTACCACACAACAGCTCATACCTATCAGAGGGGATGATCAAGCGCACCATGACAAGCGGTAAATCATTCCTCCGGATTTATGCAAGCGCAGCGAGTTTCGTTGTTCTTCGAATTGCGATGAGCAATCGCGACGGCCTCCCTGTCGGCGACGGCAAGCAATTCCTGGCTTGTTCACAGAGGAGACGCGACACTCTCCTGTGCTTCCTACTGCAGCAAGCACTAGCAGCTTCAACCTACAAGCTAGCTCTAATGCCCCCATCATCTTGACCAGATCCTGGATAGTGTCACAGCTGTGACTATGAGTGAGTAGTGTCTGTTGTACTGTCGTCTCCTCCAGGCGCTCAGACTCTGGAGCACGCCGCTGTAGCCGGGCCGCCCCTCGTCTCCCTGGTGTTGTAGGAGCTGCACCCAGGACACTTTTGCGCCAGGACATGGAAGCGCACGCTCGACGTCGCCCCGCAGTCGTTGCAAAGGATCCATACCTGGAAGAAGAAGAAGAAGAAGAAACACATCACTGTTTGTTCAGGTTCCAGCATTGGCAAGATGGTTACATATTTTTCTTTTTTTGAAAAGAAGGATTACCCCCGGCCTCTTCATCAGAACGATGCATGCGGCCATCTTATTAAAGTTGCTTACCATCTTCTTCTGGTAGAACTCTGGCATGGGCGTGGCGGCGACCTCCTGGTCGAGCTTCTGCCATGCATCCGTCATGTCGCAGGCCGACCGTGAGCAGACCGGGCACGCGAAGCTGGGGAAAACAAACCAACCAACCAAGCAAGCATCTTGATCAGATCAGACCCTCTCGTCCATTTCATGCGAACAAACAGTTGTCTGAAGAAATGCTTACTGGTGATGAACCCTCATCTCGTTCAGGCATTCCAAATGGATCGTGTGCCCGCAGTGCAGTACGCTGATGTCCATGGTCGAGTCAAATAGATACTGCGATTCAAAAGCATGGTTGTCTTTACAAATCAAGAATTGCAAAATCAGGAGTGTTTAGGGCATGGATTACAGCAAAGCGTCACCTCGAAGCAGACAGGGCAGTTGTGATGCATTGCTCGTTCCACACAATGATGAGAGTCCTTCAAAACATTGCTGTAGCAACACCCTGTCAGTGAACAAGGGCATGATTACTATTAGAGCCATCTTTAATGGAGAGACATGCCATGAAAAGCTTACAACGCAGTAACTTTCACACCCAACGCACCGCATTTTTCGCAGTGGAAGAAATTGTCCATGCCGCCAGTTCTGAAAAAGGAGAACAATGTATCCAACATTTGATCATTCTGGAAGAGAAAATCAGTAAACGTTTCGACGAAAAGAAGGATGACCGTAAATTAGGCACTTGCCTGCAGATGCCGCATCCATCGCAGTGGTACTGCTTCTTTGAGATCTGTAACAAGGTAACATAGCTGTCAGACATCGAAAATGAAAATGCTTAATAGAGTGACTGTGGAATTACACGTACATCATCGTCAAAGAAGTTGCATTTTTCACAGAAGTATTTTCCCATGCATGCCCCACAACCGGAGCAGTTCTGTTGCACCTGTTGATCCAAACGGAGCAGTTTTCATGTCATGTCATGTCATGCAATTAGTACAGTCAAAAGGTGAAAGTTACTGTAGAACTACACGTACATCCTGTTCTTTGTTGCAGAGAGAGCAGATAACCTGTGATACATCACAAAGTAGAATAGCTTTAGTAACTATGTGAGTTCATATGATTCCTACTGACTAGTGTTTTCCGTTGAGAGAAAAAAGAGAGAATAAGAAGTCCACTATAATTGCTCAATATAATTATGTGACCAGAGAGGTGGTGGACATGGACACATGGTGGAGCTAGCTAGCTACATGGCTACCGGATGCAATCATGCCCTTCAATTATGCGCCAGCTCAATCAGTGAAGTGCCGTTAAATCGAAATTAATCTTGATTGACAGCGAAGTATCCTTTGTCTTTTCCATTTCTTCCACTTTCCCCTTTCTCCGAGCCGCCTCCGTTGTGGTGACGCCGACACATCGTCGCATCCGCATGGACCTACCTAACAATCATGTGGAGTCGATGACCACGCCGGCCGGCCACTTGCGCCGATCTTGATGGCGAGAATCGGAATATAAAACAGAAATATCAAGACCCGGCGGGTCATCCAAGATAAACCTTATCAGTTATCTGACGAAACGGGGCGAAAAAAAGATCTTTGGGATGGGCGACCGGGCTCCCTTGGCCACTGCATGGCAGTTGGTGCCTTGGAACTGTCCATGCGTGCACAGCCATAACCATCGGATTGGAAGGGAGTGAGCAAGTGGGATTGCAATTCTACCGCCGGTACCCAAGTGGAGGAGGAGGAAGAAAAAGAAGGTCGAAGGCATACAGCAAAACACGGAATGACCGAGATAGAATTAAGTAACAGATGGGGCTAAGGGAGGAGCACACACCTTGCTGATTTCGTGGCGGGGGATCTCGTGCCGGTCGAGGAGGTCCACCTCCAGCGAATTCTGCAGCAACCAACACAAACAGGCCCAAATGTCCGAATTCAGAGCACAGCCCGACCGACCGACCGCGAAATCGCGCGGCATGGCGTTGGCGTTTGGCGTTGGCGAGAAAGGAAAAAGGCACTCTATGCAGACCTTAGCTTGGTTATGGCAATGCCGGCAGCCGAAGACCTCGCCACAGCAGGGCGCCCGTATCCTGCACCTCCTCGTGTAATGCTCGCAGCTTCACCCGGAAACCATCGAATCAGTGGCCTCGAACCGAAAAGCTGGTTGGTTTGATTTGATTTGCTTACCCGTGCTGCTCTGCCCCCAAATCCATCTGTCCGGCCGTCTCTGCTTCCTCCGGGTTTCCTCTCTGGGAGAGGAGAAGGAGAGGCGATCAGCTCCGCCGGAAGGAAGGAGGAAGGAATCGGAGTCCGGGAGAGGCTCGCTGCCGTCCGTCCGCTCACGCGCACGCGCACGCGCCCGGCGGGAATTAATAAGAAAGAATGGGTAGCCTGTGCTGCGCGTGTTGGAGGAGAAGCGCGGGACGCGGGCCGGATATATAGGCGGAGGGGGGCTGGACCTGGACCAGCTTCTTTGTTTTTTCATTTCATTCACGACTTGAAGTTTTTTTTTTTGAACAAGAGAAAGGCGCACAAGGCGCCTAACATACATTCATTTATCTGCAGTTTACATGGGTAATGACATATCCCTGATTAGCAATGTCTGCAATGATTTGAATTAGGGGGCAATGCCATTTTTTATGCTGAACATTACAACAGCTTATTCTAAAACTCTGTTCAGGAAATATATTCTGAGACTGAGTTAACTTGGCTGCTACATGAGCCTCACAATTATGACTTCTAGGAATATGAAACACCTGAACCTGTTTTGTTGCATTGTTATTACAGAAGTTTGTCAGAATGCTCCTTATTTGCCAGTGTCCAGGTTGAGAATTAGGAGATCTTGTTGCTGCTGCTTTTGCAAGAGTAAGATTGTCCGTTAAAATGGCTGCTTGTTGAATATTTAGCATGTTGATAATGATTGCCGCTAGATTGATTCCATGTGCCTCTGCTTGAATTGTTGATTGTGAGTGTTCAATAGTCGCTGAGATTGTAGCTTCCATCTTTTGGTCTCTCTGATGTACCTGCAAAAAAATACCAATTCCTGTTCTTACACTTTCAATAGTGTCAAAATTTCTTAGTTCATGCCAGGCTGCATTTGTGTAAATTTTGACTGAATCTGGAAGCATGATACTATCAATCGTAATTCCCTGTCTCTGATTTTCTTTCTCCTGAGAATTTATCATGTGATTTTCAGTGGTTATCTTTCTCTGTTTTAATGTCCTTACTTCTAAAGATAAGCTATTTGTGATAGCATGTGCTACAAAAAAGATCTGGAAAGGAGACACATCTTTTCTCTGGAAGAGTATATCATTCCTTGCTTTCCATAAGCACCACATGAATGTAAAAATTATTGCTTAAAGTAGCATAAGGGTGATCTGAACTAGCAAAACTCATAATAATGGAAGCTAGAGAATCAGAATTTTGAATTAGTAAATCAGATCTTATGTACCAAGGTTTGGCAAACCAGGCTGCTCTAGCAAACAGACAAGTAAACAATATGTGCATATCATCTTCTTCCAACCCACATCTAGCACAACGGGTACTGATATATTTAGAATGTTTACTTGCTCTTTTCCTCGTTGGCAGAGCTTTTCTAATTAGTCTCCAGGCAAAAGTTTGGATTCTTGGAGCAATATCTTTGGCTTTCCAAACTTGCTTTAGAAGTTCCTTAGTATTGTCTGCTAGAGCTCTAGGTTGTGGCTCCCCCTCTTCCCTCATCACCTGTAGACAAAGTTTGTATGCATTTTTTGTGTTGAATTTCCCTGTTGGAGTTAGTTTCCAGCACAAAATATCATCATCTTCAGCTTGAATAATTGGAACCTGCTTTATAATTACAGCCGTGTCTTGGTCAAATAGCATATCAATAAAATTGTGATTCCACATTTTGTGATTAGGAAGCCAGAGATCTTTAACTAGTGCCGGGTATTTAAAATCATTATTTTGGATAACAAGATGATCATAAATATTTTCCCATGAGTTGAACCAAGGAGAGCTCCAAAGAGAAATATTGCCTTTTGTAATCTGGTAAAAAGAATTGTTGATGAGCATTGGCCTAACTTTGATGATTGAAGTCCAAAAGGAAGATTTGGGGATGTTTGGGTTAGCTCTCCAAAGGGAAGATCCGGGAAATATTTAGACTGCAAAACTTTTGAGATATGGCTATTAGGATTTTCTGCTATCCTCCAGGCAGCTGCAAGGATTAGGCTTTTGTTGGTGGCTTGTAAGTTTTTTATGCCTAAACCTCCTTCATTCTTAGGGAAGCAAATGTCTCTCCAAGCCCTGAGGCAAAGAGATCTCTCATTAGTTTCCTCTCTAACTCCTGCCCACCAGAAGTTTTTAATAATTGAAGTGAGTTTGGCTAGGAACTTCTTGGGAAAAAGAATATTGGACATGTAATATATAGGGATGGAAGCAAACACGGAATTTATAAGAGTGAGCCTACCGGCATGAGAGAGTTTGGTGGCCTTATAAGTAGGGAGTTTGGCTTTGAATTTATCAACTATAAAATTATAGGCAGAGGATCTATCTTTTGCTGGCAGAATGAGAGGATGCCCTAGATGAATGAAGTTATTATCAATGGAAACAACAGGGAAGATGTTTTTTATAGCTTGCTGAATGCTGCTGTCTACACCTTTGCTAAATAGAATTCCAGATTTATTCCAATTTGGGATCTGGCTAGATCTAGCACAAAAAGATTGAATGAGTTGACTCATAATAGTGGCTTCTTGGAGCGTAGCTTGGCCACAAACAAGAAGATCATCCGCAAACATGAGAGAGTGGATAGGGGGGCAGTTTGGTCTAAGGGAAATACCTGAAAGATGGTTATGTTTCATAGCTTCCTGCAAGGAGACAGATAATTCATTAATTGCAAGGACAAAGAGATATGGAGAGAATGGACAACCTTGTCTTATGCCTCTGCTACTTTTGAATTTAGCATATTCTTGGCCATTTATGATAACGGAAAAAACTGGAGTAGAAATGCAGGCATAAATGAGATTGATGAAATGATTGTGTAGCCCTTTATGTGCCAAAGCGCCAATAATGAATTTCCATTCTAGACGATCAAAGGCTTTGGCAAGATCAATTTTAAGCATGAAAGCAGGAGTTTTCCAAGACTTGAGTGCAAAGGAGTGAGTGATTTCTTGAGCTATGATTATATTGTTACTAATTCTCCTTCCTTCAATAAATGCTTGTTGAGAGGGATGAATATAGCCAGGGAGATGTGGTTTAAGCCTGTTCGCAAGGGATTTAGCAATAATTTTGTAGACAACGTTACATAGACTAATAGGCCTATAATCTGCAGGAATATTGCAAACATGTTTTTTGGCATTCACGACTTGAAGTTTTGTTTGTGTTCCAACTTCCAACATATGGGATGGCCGCCACCTTCTTTCCATGACGTGAACCCAACTTCAATACTTACTCCGTATAATGAAAAATGAAGACTCTACCCTAGAAGATTTCTTTTAAAGAAAGGAATTTCCCTTTGAGATGCAGTGGACATAACCATAAATTCGCTCACATGTCAACTCTTTTATCATCTTTTATTTAACGATATGATCGAAGCAAACCTGTTGCTCCTCCCTCACGACTTGGTCACTGTTATTACTACTATTATTACTGTTATTACAGGCATGAAATTATAAATTATTTCAATGTCATGGGCTAGTACTGTCCGATGGGTGATGCTGCTGCACTTAGACGTGAGCTGGAGCCTATCAACCCGTCAATCACCATCCGTATATCAACAAAAATAATGCAAGTTGGCAGCAGCAATACGCGCCCACGGAAACGGAATGGGATGGTTTCCCAGGGTCAGCGGGAGGGGAGGTCGGCCCCGGACCAGTTCGGACAGCGCCGTGCCTGGATGCGGATTAGGATGACGGCGGTTAAGCCAACTCCACCGCGCGACTCTATCTTGTCCGGACCCGTCCGTTTGAGGTAGAACGGACGAATCAGGCGGCCCAACGCGCGGGAGCAAACGGACTTTTGTCTGTTTTGTGTCTCCTTTCGACCCATCCGCGGTCCAAGTTTGCGTCGCTTTTGGGGTGAAACGGACACCACGCGGACGCGCCGGCCGTATGCGCGTGTCCTCCCCTGTCCCTCCCCTGGCCCGCCCGTCGGTGGCACAGGACAGGCCTTTTTCTATCCGCCCCCTCCCTCCCTCCGGCCGCATCCCACTCCACTCTTCCCCACTCTTCCCCTCGCCGCCCGCCGCCGCTGCTGGCATTGCAGCCGTGCAACACGGATGCGCGCTCGCCCAATCCCTTCCCCTCGTTGCCGCCGAGCTACCCAACCATGGCCACCTGGTTTGCGCACCCGCCGGCCGGATTTGGGTCGGATCCGGTTGGTCTTGAGCTCACCCGACTGTGGGAGGCCGGGCCGCGCCATAGACTGGCCGGGCACCTCGCCAGAAGGCCCTGGCAGGGCCGCAAGGCCACATGCAGGCAATGGCTCGTCCTCTAGCCGCTCGGATCTGCACCGTCGGTGGTCCGCTGGCAGATACGCGAATGGCGGCCGGCCGGGCTCGGTGCTTGCCCAAAAGCTCGTCGGCGCACCGTTGCCCCTCATCAAGTGCGACCACTGCCCAAGGATGGTCGTGCGCCGCGTGTCTACAACGCCGGAGCATCCCGTATGGGTGTTCATCAAGTGCTTAAACTATGGGGTACGTGTTGGGGAACGTTGCAGAAAATAAAAATTTTCTACGCTTCACCAAGATCGATCTATGGAGTCATCTAGCAACGAGAGAGGGGAGTGCAGCTACATACCCTTGTAGATCGCGTGCAGAAGCGTTCAAGAGAACGGGGTTGAGGGAGTCGTACTCGTCGTGATCCAAATCACCGGAGATCCTAGCGCCGAACGGATGGCACCTCCGCGTTCAATACACGTACGGTTGGGAAGATGTCTCCTCCTTCTTGATCCAGCAAGGGGGGAGGAGAGGTTGATGAAGATCCAGCAGCACGACGACGTGGTGGTGGATGCAGCAGCGATCACGGCAGGGCTTCACCAAGCTTCTGCGAGAGGGAGAGGTGTTGCAGGGGAGAGGGAGGCGCCAGAGACTTGGGGTGCGGCTGCCCTCCCTGCCCCCTCTTTATATAGGCCCCCTGGGGGGGCACCGGCCCTAGGAGATGGGATCTCCAAGGGGGCGTGGCGGCCAAGGGGGTGGCTTGCCCCCCAAGGCAAGTGGAGGCGCCCCCACCCCTAGGGTTTC